AGTGATTGAATATGGAAAATGAAATATAGAATATGCTCCGTAGCTTTGCCTCCATTGCCGGCTGTTATGTTGAAAGTTGCATATTCCCATTCGAAATGTCAGCTGAGGCCGTGCAGGCATAACATAAGGTTAAATGCCACCTTATTTATATTAATATTATTTATTTATTATTTATTTATTATTTATATTAAAGACCTAACCAGTACCAGCAAAACCAATGAGTGGCGGCTGGCTGGTGCTTGAAATCAATTTTTGGATGCCCGAGGGGCGGCAGAGAACCAAAGAAGCGTAATGCCATCGATAAGAAAGTCACTCAAAAGGCACAGGGCAGAGCAGAGCAGTGCAGAGATACAGCAGCACTCTCTATCTCGGTGGGGTTTTTATGTATGATGATTATGTTTATTCCTTCTCACTTAATTTATTGTAAAATGTTAAATTTCACGAAGCGGAAATGTTTATTAGAGCGGAAACTGTTATTTTTAGTGTGATGGGCAGGTCTGAGAGTAGCATGTTGTGAGAGCTGTTGCCACCGTACTGGCTATGGCTATGGCTGTGGCTATGGTTTTGAGTCCTTCTCCTGCTCTTTTGCTGCTGGTCCTGCTGCTGCTTGTCCTGCTATTGGAACAAAGCAACAGCAACAGGGCCAGAAGGATACCTAAGCCCTCTCGTGTGTGTATGTGTTTGTGTGTGTGTGTGTAAGCGCTTTCCATTTTCTCGCTCAGCTGCCAACAATATATTTATTAATATTTCCCAGTTTTCGGCACACCACATGGCGTATGCGCAACTTATTAAGTATACCAAAGACAAAGAGTCCTGTTCCGTACCTGTCCTGTCCCTCTGTCGCCCTCTCTCACACTGTTCATTATCCTGCCAACCTGTTAATTAGTCGACGCCTTTCACTTTTCTTGCGCTAATTAAAAAACCAAGTTTGCCCAACAACCAACAACAGCAAAAAAAAAAACGCATTATTTTTTCAGAAAATATTTAATAAAAAGTTGTCTTAGCCACAGGCTGAAAATTTGCACCCCTTTTTCCTTGTACCACCAGCACTGATTAAATCAAACTTCGTGGCAGGCTGCGATGAAATAAACTTTGCAATGGGCTAAATCAAGATTGAAGCAACTTCAAAGGGAATAAAGTTTCGACCGTTGATGAAATACGAGCAGAATGTCACTTAAATGTGTCAGGAAAATGCCGAAAATCCTGAGAACTCTGTTAAGATATAAATAAATGATTGAACTGGTTGATGTATGGCAAAAATAAAATAAAATAAAATGATTTAGAAATAAATTTGATGCTAAAATAATTCGCCGAGACTCGAAAGAAATCTTAAAGCAAAAGGCACATTCGATATGTGTGTGTGTGTGTGTGTGTATGTGTACTTTATGATAATCTCTTGGCACTTCTCAGAAAACATCTCTCAAGAGCCGAGCACCAAAAGGAAGACAAAATATTCGTACGAAATTCTCTGGAAACCCCATACATATTTTGCGCTACAATTTTCTCATTCATTTGGATTACATTTTTGGCACTTGAATATTTATCGATGCTTAAGCTGCTTTGTGCATTTTATAGACACTCTTCACCCACATCGCCCCCCTCTCCATCTTGCTCTCCATCCTCAGCTGAAGGCTGAAACGTTCGGAATCTACTTAAAAATGTTCTTTTAAATACTTAATGCAAAATACTCGCTTGCCACAAAAACAGACACAACGAGTACGAACAGAGGCAGCTCCCTCAGCTGCCTTCCAGCCAAGCTCCTTCCGCAGGGGTTCTTCAGTTGTCCGCAACATTTCAAATTAATTTTACAGCTGCCAGTTAAGAGTTCCACCAGGCCCTGCGCCAGCCTGCCTGAAGTTAACCCCGAGAAGTACGCGGACATACTCCGTCCTTGGGCCACCCACCTTGGGCCAGCCATAATGAAGTAGCAAATAAATAGCACTTTGTGCCTGCTCCTTATCCACCCATTACACCCACAAAACTGTCGGCAACATAACCAACAAGTCCAAGCAGCAGCAGAACTGGAAGCTAAAGTCTCGGGAAAGACAGACAGCGACGGAGACAGAGACAAAGACCAAGTCCAAGCTGTTCTTGAAGAATTTCCTAATAAATGCCACTGGTTAGTTTGTCATTTATAATGGCTACTGTACAGCTGTTCACTTTGCATTGGGCATGTACGCTTGACCATGAGGTTTTCAAGTTAAAATAATATACGTTTACCTATAGATAGTCCTACTAGTTCTCCGCTTATTTTTTAATGCAGGAATTACTTTGAAACTCAACCGGAATAATTTTATTTTAAATAAATGTTCAGCGATCCTTTGTGATCCACTTTTAAAACATGCGTTCTATTTATTCTATTTACATATGGGGGCTATGCATGGAAAACCATCAAATTAAAAATCAATAAAAACAAATTTCCATCTAATTCTGTCTTGTACTTTTTTTTTAACTTTTAATAACGTAAGAAATCCCTTACCGTGCAAATATTTTTAAATAAAAAAAATAATTAAATAAATAAATAATAAAAAAATTTAAATAAATAATAAATAATTAAATAATAAATAAATTTAAATCAATTATAAATAATTAAACAAATAATTATTTAAATTATTATATTATAAATTATTGTATAAATTATTATTATAAATTTCAGTTAAAATCAAAACCATTTTCAATGCACAGCATTCGAAATAAAGTCACATGGAAATATTGCATCAGACTTCGCTGAAATGTCAGTAAACGAGTGCATAGATAAGGGTATTCCTGCTTTCGCTGCAGCCCCGTAGCGTGTTTGTTTTTTTTAATTTTCTCCTCTTTCATTTGCAGCAATTCTTCAACCGGGGGTAATTTGGACAGAGAAAAAATACACCGCCGCCGCCGTCGCTGCCGCTGCCGCAAACTTATCTCAATGGTGGTGGCAAAAGGCAAAAGCGCAGTTCCCTGCACAAATTTGCATGCAAATTAAATGCGATAAATTCTGTCGTCATTGTTTGGGGGGCCTCTCATCTTGGCTTGACGTCATCCAAGGAACAAACGCAGACCAGAGACCGCAATTACCGCTTGGCGTGGCTTGGCGTGGATTGGCGCGGGCCAACTTGCATAAATCAGAGTCCGAAAAAGTGCATTCCCTAGCATATGCTCGCACATGCGGTGGTAGCACCATGGATCCCACCTTAGACTGCACTTAATGTGTGTTAATTCCAAACACACCTCCTGCCCGTGTACCCAGGGCAGCCCACAGGGGATGCAATTAATGACGGAGCTCATCGTTTATTCATCAATTGCAATTTGCCCACAGCTCGAACAGCTGGAGGGAAAAAGCCAAAGGCCAATACTGGGCGCCACGCGGTTCGTTCGTGGCATGCAAATACATTTGACACACAGGAACACAACAATTGGCAGCACAGAGAAGGCGAGCAGCCTGTCGCTACAGGACAAAACTCTCTCACAGGACACAAACAAACCAAACAGACAGTGGGCCACAGGGCGTCAAATTGTTGAGCGAATTATTATCGAACTAAAGCGCACGGAATTTCATAAATTATAATTCAGCAAATACAATATTCTATGCTATGATCCAAAACCAAAGACGACCCTTTGTCCCAAGTCCATAGTTGCCATAGTCCACAGAGGGCGTTCTGTGAGTATTATAAATGGCAAAATATCGTCCCGTCCAGCGTCCTGTGATTGTTGGGTGACTGTGGCAGATGCTTTTGTTTCGCCCGCTGGGATACTTGTCCAACAGGCAATTATTATATCATTTTTACAGCATTTGCAGTGAATGAAAATCTCGTTCTCTAACGTATTGCCTGTGACAGTGCCAGTCCCAGATGAAGGTCTCCCACTGTGCCACTGAATGACAACAAAATAAATGAAATTGAGCGTTGGTTGGCTTATTCAAAAGGAAGCCTCCGCCCGCCCACTTCTACCACTGCCACCATTCTGCCACGGAAAATGTTGCTTGGCAAGAGGTTTGGTCAATACGCAGCGAGAGAGAGAGGAGAGAGAAAAGGAGTGGGTTGGAAAATCGGTAAATAAACAAGCCAACCAACAGCCTGGCAAAAAGTTTAAGGAAAATATTTACAAATGAATTAACTTAATGAAAATAAACTAGCACAGATATAGCCCGTACGATCATGTTGATGACGCCATGCCTGGAAAACCCATTCCATACAAATCTAAAATAAGGAACGTACTGTAATTAATGGGTACTATAACTTCAGGTATAACTGACTCATGCGTGAACTTGAACGCGATACAATTGGAACGTGCTTAGTCCCTGGCCCCAATCATCACTTTCGGTTGAGCGTATCTTCGAGATATTTGGCTCGTATTCCAATGCGAGATGAAGCAACGAAGCGGTTGTAAATTTTGCGATGTATTTTGGCACTGGCCGAGCAGAGAAAGTTACTGTGGAATTTGATACGAACGCAATGAAGGGCGCACCTTCTTCTCCGCTGCCACATACATTCTTCCTGCCCATACATTTCATATTCTAAACTTTTATTAACTTTTCACAAAGTAAACAAAGGAGAACAGCTGTCCGAGCAGTGTAGCCGTAGGCAAAGCACTGCACACCGCTGGTCACTCTGGTCACGCTCGCTTGGCACGTTTTTAGAGCGGATCTGAATACTACGCCCTAACCTAACTTATAAAAAACATCGATGGTAATATCGACATGTCAGCTATGTTTTTTCAATCCCACTTCCACAGCTTTTAACCTCTCAACGATTTAAATGCCGAATTGCAAGGCGGGCAGTGGTTTTCAATTAATTTTGCAATTTAAATTTTCAAACAAAAATTTAATTTTTGTTACATTTTCTTTGGTCCTGTTAAGCGCACAATTTATTCTGATACGCGAACAATTTGTGCTGCTAAGCGCACCGAAGCAACGCTGGTCGTCCCACGCTTCGATAACCAATTCGGAAGCGATAATCCAATTCGTTTTTCCGCCATTCTCCGAGCCGAGTGACACGTGTTTGTGCAGCAGAAAAAGGACAAAAGCTTAAGTGGAAATTGTTAATTATGACATCGAAAATAATGCAACTGGTTTCGGTCTTGGAGCAGACGAACTCCACAGACAAAGACGATCTTTTGTTTGCCAAAAACTACTTGGAAGAGGCAGCCGCCGGCAATATGTCGGAGTATTTCACGGGCCTGTCCGTGGTCTTGGTCGACACTAAGAACAGCTCCGTGGCTCGTACGGCCGCTGGACTGCAGATGAAGAAAAAACTGATCGGCAAGGATGCGCGTGCCAGGCAGCAGAAACTCGAGATATGGCAGCAGTTCCCCAACGAGAACCGTGAGTTGATCAAACATAACCTCCTTGCCACGTTGGGCACGGAGAACACGCGGCCATCTTATGCCGCCCAATGCGTGGCACTGCTGGCAGTCATTGAGCTGCCCCTTAAGCGCTGGGGAACTCTCATCCAGACCCTGCTGAAGAATGCGGTCGGCGAGGGATCGAGCGAATTGCTGCGCGAGTCTGCCCTGGAGGCCATTGGCTACATTTGCCAGGGCGCACAGGGCAGCCTGACGGAGAGTCAGTTGAAGCAGATGCTCTCGGCCATCGTCCGCGGCATGCGCGGCGTCGAGCCGTGCAAACATGTCCGCCTGGCCGCCGCCACTGCACTATTCAACTCGCTGCAGTTCACCAAGGCCGTCTTCCAGAAGAAGGTGGAGCGTAACGCCATCATGAAGGTGGTCGGCGAGGCCACGGTCTCCAAGGACAAAGATATCTGCGTGGCCGCCCTGCTGTGTTTGCTGAAGATTGTGACCCTGCACAATCAGTTGCTGGAGCCGTACTTTGAGCTCGTCACCACCCGACTGCTGGGGGCCAGCGATCGGTCTGATATTTCCCAGGCCAATCTGTGCGCCGCTGTCTACGAGGCTTTGATATATATGATTCGCGATTCGTCCCCCAACTGCTATGCGGTGGTGCAGCGCACCATCATTGTGATCTTCGATCGTCTGAACCAGGCCATCCAGACCGGCAATGTGCATCTGCAGGCCCTGCTGTGCGCCACCTTGCACAGCTTGCTGCAGAAGATACAGAAGGTGGATGCTCCCCAGATATCCGATCGCATTATGAACGCCATGTTCATCGTTCTTCAATTGAGTGCTGGCAAATCGACAAAAGTGCAGGAGCAGGCCTTGCTTGTCGTGTCCACAGTGGTGGATCTATTGGGCGTTGGGTTCGCCAAGTATATGCCGATCTTCAAGCACTTCCTGATCGCTGGCCTGAAGGATCGCGTGGAGTATCGTGTATGCTGTGCCAGCGTCGGCATCACCTCCCTTCTTTGCCGCGTCCTCCAATGGCAGATGGTGCACCACTGTGACGAGATCTTGCCGGTGCTGATCGCCGGTGTGGGCGACATCTCACTCTGCCGCGGCCTGAAGCCGTTGATGCTCGCGGTCATCGGTCTGATGGCCGCAGAATTGGGTAGGCGCTTCCTGAAATATTTGAACATGGTGCTGGACATAATGCGTGGTGCCACCAGTCTCCAAAGGGATCGCACCAACACGGACAACGACCAGTACATCGTCGAGTTGCGCAATAATGTGCTCCTGGGATACACTGGCATCCTGCGCGGACTGAAAAGCCTCCGTCAGACGGGCCTATTGGAGCCCCATTTGCCGCACATAGCTGGCTTCATCAATCGCCTTGCCCAGGATAGTGACATGAGCGACCCGCTAATGATCGTCGCTGTTGGTTTCATGGGCGATCTGTGCACTAGCTTTGGGCCACGTCTCGGCACACTGTTCGAAACGGTGGCCATCACACGCTTTCTGGCCAAGGGCAAGCTGTCCACCAATCCTAGCATTAAATTTTTCTGCGAATGGGTCCAGCAGGAGGTCGACAAAATCACTGAGCACGATCACTGGTAAGCAGATGGTTTTTACCCAATTCGATGCATTACCAAACATCTTTCCTTATCTTTTATTTACTTTGCAGAAACTTACTTACATTTCTATCCATAAAGACGAGCAGGAGTTGCGTGGGAGCATGGCAAACAGGCCGACAATCTTTGTTTAATTATTTCATATATATTCTTATATAAAAACGATGTTTGGAAAATGTTCGGAAAACCTTTACGAAGAATCGAAGCACCATTAAATAATTTGTTTCAAGTTCTTTCAACTATTTCTGTTTATATATTTGTTATGATACGATTACGATGTCCACAAAAGACATGTAAGCGTAGCTCTTGGAATTCCATTTAATTCGCCAAGTTCTGTTTGCTCTTTGCCACATTTACGAGGCACATTGTAGACTCCCTCCACACTTTTATTTTTATTTTTTCTCTTTTTATGGCTGTTATTGTATGTATTTTTTTAATGCCATACACATGCTCATATACATAAACAAATACACGCTCAATGTACACATACATATAGGGGACATATCGATTGCAGGACTCTCTGCTCTGCCCGGCTCTGCGTGGCTAGAACAGTGAACCAAACCAAACCAAACCCCCCCAACTGATGGAAAATTCCCTTTGTGACCTCTCCTACGCACACAAAATCCTGCCCTTCCCACAAGCCTCCGCCTCTGCCTCCGCCTGTGCCCAAGAACAAATAATCTTTTGCCGGGCTCTGCCTCGAAAGGCTTATCATATTGTATCTGAAAGTCTAATTTCGAACTGTAACTGTAACTGCGCCTCGGCGACGGCCACTTTCGGGCTACTTTAGCTACTTTCGGGCTACTTTTCCAGCATTAAAATTTCGTTTATTGCCAACCGGGGAGCTGTTAAGTCGTCAAACGCAAAGCCTCCGCGCCTGCCCGTCTTCTCAATAATATGTACATCCCCCCATTTGGCTCAAGACGAAGCCAATAATACTCTTGTGGCCCCTTCTACACTGTGCCATGGCGAATACGTCAGACAATATTGGCGTATGGAGAGGCAATGGCATTTTGTCTCTGGATATTATTTTTTATGCTGACAAAGTGGTTAAATAAATATGAAACGAGTTTTACATGTGAAATATTTTAGAATTTGAAAATAATTTGTTTTGCAATGTATTGTTTATTAATTCTTTCCAGCACTTAAAGTAAAGTAAAATATATACCAGGCACAAAGACATTTTCGGAATAATTTACTTGATACATTTTGGGAGAATAATTTTTTATTTTTAAATCCAAATAATTACTGCTTATGAACTAATTAAATTTGTTTATTATTTTGTTGCTCATTTATTTATTTAATTTTTACTTTTTTATATTTTTATTATTATTATTATTTTATTAATTTGTTACTCATTTATTTATTAAATTTTTACTTTTTGATTTGATTATTTTGTTTTATTTTATGTGCATGTAATATGGGTACTTCTGCACATATTATTAATTTTTTTTATTATTTTGTTGCATTGATTATTTGATTATTTATTTATTTTATTATTTATTTATTTTATGTGCATGTAATATGGGTACTTCTGTACATATTATTAATTTGTCTTATTATTTTGTTGCATTCATTCATTTATTTATTTATGTTTTATGCTATTTTTAATTTATTTATGTGCATTATCTGTTATTTCCAAAAATGTCAAACATTTGTTTTATTTTTTTAGGCATGCAATTCTGTCAGTGGCCTAAGCCATAAATACCCCCGATTGGTTGTTCCCCCCCACCACCGTTGAACAGAGTGTGCAGCATTGTGTGTGCTTTTATGTTCTCTCCAGTGTGTGTGTTTGTTCCAGGGAATTGGATTACGAGTAAATGGCATCAGACAGACAGACATATGTACATATGTTATGTCTGAGCACATGTACCTACAATAAATCCCACGATTTCTACGATTTCAAACCCATCAAAGGGGCAGCGGCATTATTGGATGATTGAATGCTTGCGTTAATTGTGGCCACCATTAAAAGGGTTCAATTTGTCAGTCAACCGATTGAACGATTGAAATGCTTCTGCCACAGTACACCCTACACCTCCCCCCCACCACTCAATATCTGTTCGTGTGTGTGTGTGTGTGTGTGTGCAGCCCATTGATTAAATTGAGATTAGAACGCATCTGTGGCAAGAGTAAACTATATGGTTTTGCCCCGGCAACGGTCTGCCCCTGCCATTGGCCTCTCCTCTCCTATTGATACGGGCAGTGCAACATGCAAATTGAAGTGCACAGTCCACAGATGCCATGCCAGTTGAATGCCAATGAGAACTGAAGCGAATAATGCTGATGGGATAGCAGATTGATACGCAAATCGGATTTTAAAGAAGCTTTTGCTCTGTGTGTGTGGTGTGTTGTGTGCGTTTGTAGCTATAACCAGGGATTATCTCGTTTTTGTGTCTGATTGAAAATGATAAATCCGCAATGGGACAGACAAATTCTTTCCAAAATTTTCATCTATTCTCGAAGGAAGCTCTCAGAGTCTTGCCATGAATCTTTAACGATTCCCCAGCACTGCCAGCAAACTTTTTGCCTTCCTTGTCACATAGAATATAATTATATATATATATTGTATATATATATAGTATATCCCCATTCGCTTTACCTTTTCTGAGTCGGCCAACAAGTGTTTTCATTGCAATTAGCGGTGTTTCATGGTCTCCCTTGCCTGGCACTCTGCCACTCTCTACCTTCCTCCTGCGACTACTCTGCCACTTGTGCATATCTCCATGCCACGCCACTCAACTTCCATCTTCACTCTTCATTATGCACACAACTTGCTGCTTTTGGCCCACATTCTTCGGGCCAACAGAGATACGACATGCCCATGACATGGCCACGCCCACAATTCATGCTTGACATTCAACGCCTTCCTCTAGAGAATGAAGGCACATCGCTCTGGATGGGATGGGATGGAAATGGGAATGGCATGGCATGGCATGAAAGGAATGGGTTAAGGCTGGGCCGGCCCGGGCAGAGCCAGAGCCAGAGTCGGAAGCCGTCGTCACTTTGTATGGAAAAGTTTTGCTGGCGTGTTTTTGAAAATTTTGCCAGAGCCAGCGCCAGAGAACAGAGCAGAAAAAGGGGGTCGTCGGAAATTGTCAGTGCACAATATCCGTTGATTTGTGCAGCATGAAAATGGGTAAAAAGGAAAATCCATTGACACGAAAATGCAAGTCGCACAGACAGACACGGACTCGTGCTGTACTCGTACAGGGAGCCAGGGAGCAAGCAGGGAGCGGGGGCAGGCAAGTGAAAAACCCAAAGGCATTTCAGCAAATTATGCATATTCTACGGAAATGGATGGGCAGAGATGATGGCACCACCACCCCCCACAGTACACAGTACACAGTACCCAGTCCCATTTACTCGTACACCTTTTAGAAAGAGCCTGACTACCACACGACCCCCCTGGGACATATCGCATGACCAATTAGCACTCGCCTTCGAAGACGGAAAAGTATTTTCATAACCCGAAAAGTTGGAGCGAGCGAGAGAGAGACACAGAGCAAGCAAACCCTTTTCTCGACATCCGTTATTTACTTTCAATTCCCCAAATAACAAAGCGAAATTCTCCTATTTTTCCACAGTCAGAGAGTCAGGAGAGGCGGCAGTGGCAGCAGTGGCAGTGGCAGAGCCAGGGAAACAGAAGGCATACTCAAGTCTGAAAACCTTTTGCGGTTTGCTTTGCCATTAACATAAAACCCCACCAACCTCAACCCACAACCCCCAAACCCCCAAACCCCAAAACCCAACCCAAAACCGAAACGAAGCAAAATGTAGAGAAAATGGTCTTATATGGAATCGAAGGCAGGGCTGAAGGGCTGAAATAAATAAATAAAAATAATATAAACGAGAGAAGAAGAAAAATGGCCCAAAAAAAAAAAAAGAAGAAACTGTAGAGAAAGAAAACGGTTCGCTTGTTGCTATTTTCTTGCCTCTTGCCTCTATCTCTCTCTCTCTCGCGTTCTCTGGGAGGCAACCCAAATCGCTGGGGGGGCCAAAAAAGTCTCAGAGCCCTCAGGTAAATGCAAAAAAAAAAAAGAGAAAAAAAGAAAAATAGAATGAAACCTTGGGATAATACAGAAAAAAAATAGAGGAAAAGGAAGAAGGGGCTCAGGGAATGACATGGAAGGTGGGTCACATCAATATGGACGCCTGTCAGTCAGGACACACAAAAAAATGTCATTTTGTATGCCCTTTACTGAAGCCAGGCAGCGTCTTAAGGCCCCAAAGAAGAACTTTGTGGGAAAAAAGCTGAGCCAAAGCCCATGAAAGAATGTTTTATACATACAAATATATTTATCTATGCTATGAATTTGTAGAAAGAAGTCTGTACATATATGTATGTATGTATACAAATATTCAATATGTGTAATATAAATCATTTGTCAAAAAATCAGTAATATAACATGTAAAAATATAATAATATAAAAATATTCAATATATGCAATACAAATCAGTTGTTAAAAAATCAGTAACGCTAGAGCAATGCTGATGACAGAGAATTTACATACATGTATATAAATATTGAATGTTTGTTTATTAAGTGCAATTGTCGCTGATAAATGATATGAACAATTTGTCATTCATTTATTTCTACAATATAAAGAAAAATTTTTTAAATTAATACAATTTTAGTTTAAAATAAATTAAAACTGATGTAATTTAATTTTCTTTTAAAGTGTATTTCTGGATTCCAAGATTTTCAACTAAAAAATCTCTAAAAAGAGTAAAAAGAGCAATACAAAAAAATTATAAAATTTATTGTGTGTCCTTTTAAAATATCCTTGAGCCTAAAGGATTCACGGAATGGTTTTTTTTTCAGGGCATCAAAAGTTAGTCAAGAAATTTGGATTTCCTCTCTCACTTTGGAATTTTTTTTTTGTTCGTTTATTCTGATTCTTCTATTCAGTTATTCCATTACGCCATTCCCTCTCTCCCTCTCTATTGTTTGTTTACTTGGGTGAATTGGCAAGGGGGGGGGGGCAGGCAGGCAGCAACACGTCGTCGTCAGGGTAAAAACTCATAAAGTATATTAACAAAATGTTCGATTGCACTTTATCTTTTAGCATTTTTTTTTGCCTTTGCTGCTTTTCCCTTACTTGCCCCCCCCGCCACTTGCATGACTAACGGATTGGTATCCAATATGCCGGGCGGCTCTCTCTCTCTCTGGCCCCTCTCTGTCTGTGTCTCTGTTTGTCATTCAGTCAGTCTGCCAGTCTG